CCCCCAAAACCCCAAAACCCCAAAACCCCTTTTAACAAAATTTGGATTGAATAGAGTAAAATTCTTAATTTGCACATTTAGTGTTTAAATTGAACTTGGTTAAGAATTTTAGCTTGTTGTGAGCAGTCATAGTTGAGGGGTTAGTACAGATTCAGCTTGGGATCTGGACTTTACTTCACTAGACTTCTTGTGTAAAATTTTGATAACCTGAGAGGGCCAGCTACTGGCTTTCTTTTTTTAAGGCGAGTGGAGGAGAAGTTGCTGAAAGCTTTATCAATGCTGTATTCTTCTTCTCCCTCGTAAGGCAAGTTTGGACGATTGCGTTTGGATCGATTGAAGGAGTGCTGGGATTTATTGAAAGTCCTGGAGGATTTGTGTCTCCTGGATTAAGCTTTAATTTGAGAAAAGATTTTAGAGAAAAATTGAGATTTTGAGATTAGGCCTTTTTGATGAATATAGCCATCACTTTGTGGTTTTGATAAGCTATTCTGGGATTTATTTACAGTTTTTATCAATATGCATAAACAATAAGCTAATGGTAGAAAAATTAATCTCATTTGAGAACCAAGGAAGGGTTTTAAGGATGCATCAGATCTGATGCTAAAGAATTAAGATCCGATAGAACTTATTTGATGATATTCTTTCTATAAAGACTATCTAATACCTCTTTCCAAATCTGAAAAACTTGATATCGGAATATAATAAGGTAAGCAGGACCAGATGAGCCATGCCTCTGTACGAAATATCATGGTAGAAATTGTATGTTATAAGCTTGTGAACCTACGGTTTTGATCCTCAGTGATTTGTATTTTCATCATCAGACAGGCCTGTTTCTCTGAGTTCATTTATTTTAATCATCGAAATTGAAGAAATTTTATCAATCCCGGCAACTTTGTCAAATAAATCCCAGCCTGTAACAGTAGTTTTCTTCTTTAAGCCAAATTTTCCTTTTCCTGAGACTTTACTTCTACAAGGAGTTAGAGATCTTTCCAGAATGTTCAGGAAGGTATACCTTTTCGATTTTTTCTTTGATTCATCATGGCTATAATTCTTACAAGAAAAGTACCTTTTTGCTTTTAATTCAAGAGCATCTGCCTTCTTTAGTATTCGAGCTGATTTTTTAAGTGAACTCTTCTTCTGTTTTTCTTTATTCTTCTCATGATGAGTTTTATCTTGAGAGAATAGTCAGTTTAACTCATATTTGATGAAATTTGTAGTTAAATATAAAAACGCAGGGAGGAAAAGGCATATAAATTATTTAAAATTTTAGTTATTCAAGCAATACTTCTTAAAATTACTTAAATTTGGGTTACTAATTATTCTAGAATAACCTACCTGAATGAAGAGTTAGAGCTATATATTTGAGCATCATAATATCTTTAATTATAATTTTATCCCAATATTCGCCAAAAGTAGAAAGACAGTGCTCCAAGTTCTACTTTCCTAAACCTTATTCCCAACTCTACCTTCAAGATAAATTTCCTACAACTGAAAAAGTCAAGTTCCCCTTTTTAAAAAAATTCGAAACCTTAAAATACACAAAAAAATGGCAAATTTCAAAAATCCAAAATTTTTAGTCAAAATCGCCTTCGAGACCTTCCTAGTCGTTCTGGATAACACAGTTTTACTAAAAAAACGACTTAAAGCCTAATTTCGCTTTGTTTGTTCCTAATCCTCAAAAGGATCCTTTAAAGTATGAAGGGTTCATATTAAGGTTATCTACTTCATAGTTCAAAAAATACCGAAAATTAGCAATACTTGCTTTTTATACAATGACTTTTGTTGAAGATGTCCTTAGAATACTGCTTTAATCATTTGTAAAGATTAGTTACCAGAATCGACAACTTATGTATTAAAGTAATCAGTTGATAACTTCACAAATTTACTAAAATGAGTTTTCACAACGAAATGAAACTAGGATTGACATTTTGGGTTCTGACTAAGCTATAAAGCAGTTTTGAGGCTATAATGAACAAGAGAAGCTTAAAGGGAGCAATTGGGTTTAAGGGGTTATAAGAGTATAGAAGAGGAACCAAGAGGGGTAAAGATTACTTTTGGAGCTATCTGTGCTGATTTCTGAATCTGAAGAGATGTGGTTAGATTTGTCCTTGCGTATTTGAGGTTTTCCCAAGCCTATAGATGATAATATGAAATCAGTACATCAGATGCTATTTTTCGATCCCATTTTATTTATTATTCCATTTCAATAATTTACATTTTATTGGGGTTTTGGGGTTTTGGGGTTTTGGGGTTTTGGGG